CTCCGCATCACCATCGTAAGTCGTCGTTACCATCCTCCTCGCCAGTCTCTTTCTCACCAGAGTCAGCCTTATGTTCATTCTCCTGATCCGAAAACTAATCCACACCATCATCAACAGCAGCAGCATCAGCATCATCATCAGAATCATCATCAGCATTAGCACCAGCATCAGCATCAGCATCAGCATCATCATCATCATCATCATCATCATCATCATCAGCATCATAATCATCATCATCATCATCACCATCACCATCACCATCACCATCACCATCATCATCATCATCATCATCATCATCATCATCATCATCATCATCATCATCATTACCATCATCAACCTCATCCTCATCCTCATCATCATCATCATCATCATCATCATCATCATCATCATCATTATCATCATCATCATCACCATCATCATCATCATCATCATCATCTTTGGCATCATCATCGTCATCAGCGTCCTCATCATCAGCAGCATGACCACCACCATAATATCCATCACCATCATCAACAACATCAGCTTCATCATCATCATCATCATCATCATCATCATCATCATCATCATCATCATCATCATCATGAGCATCATCATCATAATCATCATCAGCATCAGCATCAGCATCAGCATCATCATCAGCATCAGCATCATCATCAGAATCACCATCAGCACCATCATCGTCGTCATCATCATCGTCATCATTAGCATCATCGTCGTCGTCATCATGCCCTCCTCCTCTCGTCATCCTCCGCCTCAGAATCAGTATTGCCATCCTCCTCCCCTCCTCCTCATCCTCATCAACATCATCAGAATCATCAACATCATCATCAGCAGCATCATTAGGATCGTCTTCATCATCGCAATCGAAATCACATTCCCCAGTGTCATGATCGTTATCATCAGCATCCTCATCATCACGATGATCATCAGCAGCAATATCATTTCCCATCATCGGAATCATCGTCACCATCCACATCACCAGCACCGTCACCATCAGCATCACTACCATCATCATCACCATTCGCATCATCATCATCATTATCATCATCATCAGCATCATCATCATCATCATCATCATCATCATCATCATCATCACCATCACCACCATCATCACCATCGTCATCCTTCAACTCATCATCGCCAACATCACCAGAATCATCATCACACCACCACCATTACCATCATCATCATCAGAATGATCATCGTCAGCATTATCATCAGCAGCATCGCCATCATCATCAGAATCATCAGCATTATCATCATCAGCATCCTCATCATAATCAGCATCGTGATCACAACCACCACCATCATCATCAGCAGCAGAATTATCATATCATCCTGATCGTCCTCCGCATCCACCTCATCATCATCATCATCATCATCATCATCATCATCACCATTACCATCACCATCATCATCACCATCCTCATCGTCGTCGTCATCATCAGTATCAGCATCAGCATCATCATCAGCATCAGCAGGATCATCATCATCGTGTTCCCCGCCGCCATCCTCCTCTTCCTCCTCCTACTCCTCCTCTCATCCTCTCCCCGTCTCCGCTCCCCCACACTCCCCCCCACACACTCGCCACCGACCCCTGTCCTTCTCTCCCATCGGAGGTCTCCAGAAGTCTAAGGAAGCCCCCAGAAGTCTCTGGAGCCCCCCAGAGGCCCACGGAGACTCCTTCCTTCCGAAAGTCTCCAGAGGCCTCGGGGAGACCCCCAACACAAGAACAAGGCGTCCAAACATCATGCACCCTCAATCCTATCTCCACCCTCTCTCCCCTAATCCATCTCCCGCTAGCAATCCTCTCGTTGTGTGTGTGAGAGGGGGGGAGTTCTGGGCTTGTCGTATTCGGAGCACCCCTTGGCGTTCTCTTGGGCGCGCCCAGCCCATCACCCTCGTTGGCGCGCAATGCTCGTCAACTCGAGGTGAATCGGGCCCGGTCACAATCGAAATCGTAAATGAGTCGAAAGGGAAAACCTTTCTTTTGATCCCTTACCAGGGGAGGGGGTCCCGCGGGGGGGGTCACGGGGGGGTCCCTGGTCAGAATACGGTCCCTCCGATTCCTTTTTCTGGCCGCCTTCGATCAAGTTTGGCCCTCCTTCGGCAGATCAGGTCCAAGAAAGACCCAAGAGGGCCCAGAATCGCCAAAAGATTGCTCCAGGACGCCCGAGATGGTCTCCAGACCACCCGAGGCGCCTCCAAGACACTCCAAGAGGCCTCCAAAAGTACTCCCAAGAGGGCCCCAAGAGGCAAAATGTATTGAATTGCCGGTGGTGTTTGACAGACTTTAGCGTTTCTGCCTTTTCGGCTTCCCGACGCTCCAAAACGGCCCAAGAGGCCCCAAAGATCGCCCCAAGAAGGCCTACGAGGCGGTCAAGAGGGCGCCCAGGCGGCCCAAAAAGCCCCCCAAGATGGCCCAAGAGGCCTCCAAGAAGGCCCAAGACGGCCCCAAGAACGCCACAAGAGGTGCCCCTGAGGGCGAACAGGGACCGACATTTCAAGCTCACCGCACCAGGAGGCTCCCAGGAGGCCCCAAGAGGCTCCCAAGAGGCCCCCAAGAGGCCCCAATAGGCCCACAAGGGGCCCCCAGCAAGCCCCAAGACACTCCCAAGAGGCTCCCAAGAGGCTCCCAAGCGGCCTCCAAACTGCCTCCAGAGGCTCCCGACAGCCCTCCAAAGAAATCCCAAGAAGCATCGATGAGGATTCTGACCCTCTACCCAGGCACGGTAGCAGGATGAGCCACAGGTCACTAGATGATCCAAGAAGGGCCTGAAATCGCCCGAGCGCCGCAAGAGAGCCCCCAGAGGACCCCCCCAGAGGACCCCCACAGAATTCCAAACAAGCCCTCAACAGTACAATACCAAGAGAGCCCCCAGAGGGCCCCCACAGAATTCCAAGCAAGCCCTCAACAGTATCATCCCAGGAACCTTTGGTATGATACTGTTGCGGGCTGTTTCGAGAGCCCTCATGGGGTCATCTTAGGCCTTTTCGAACCTCTTGGTGCCCTTTGGGGCCCCTCTTCAAGCACTTGGGACTCTCAAAGAGCACAAAGGAAGCTCCAAGAAGCCTCCAAGAGTGCCCAGAGAGAGCTCCAAGAGGGTTCCAAGAATGTCCCCAACAGTATGATACCAAGGCACGGTGGCGGGATGGGACGTGGGCCACGCAATCCAAGAGGGACCTCAAAGCGCATTCCTCCTCCTCCTCCTCCTCCTCCTCCTCCTCCTCCTCCTCCTCCCCTCCTCAGCCCATCCACCCCCTGCCCATCCACCCCTAATGACGCTGGGCGCCTCGCCATCAGCGCCATCGTCTGTCTCGCCTGGGGGACAGCTGGGCGAGGCCAAAGCTGGAGGAGGAGGAGAAGGAGGCTTGGACTGGATGTGATTGGACACGTCGACAGCAATGGCAGGAAGGGTGGCAGTCATTAACAGTCAAGCAAGGTGGCGCATCACACACAGACACACACACACACACGCACACACACACACACACACACACACACGCGCGCACACACACAGACAGAGTAGTCAACCGCAGCGAATAAGAAAAGTGCCCATTGGCCAACGGTGCGCAAAAGTCAATACAATTCAGCATCAAGGAGGAGGAGGAGAAGAAGATGCCGGAAGAAGGAAGAGGACAATATCGACGAGGAGAAATAATTGGGCGGAGGGCACCGAAGAAGAGGAGGAGGAGTACGAGGAGGCGATCGAGGAGGATATCGAGGAGGGGGGGGAGGAACCGAGGAGGAGATCGAGAAGGAGGAGGAGGAGGAGGAGATCGAGGAGGAGGAGGGGATCGAGGAGGAGGAGATCGAGGAGGAGATCCAGGAGGAGGAGGAGGAGGAGGAGGAGGAGGAGGAGGAGATCTAAGAGGAGGAGGAGCATCAAGCAACCAGGGGGCCAAGGGGGACCCGGCGCGGCCTTCGGCGAGACTCGATGGCGCCGCGGACCGGCATGCGGGCCGGCGCGCGCGCGCGCCCGAGCCGCGCGGTGCCGCCCTGGGCGAGGAGGAGGGGAGGAGGCGAGGCCGCGGCCAAGGAACGAGACGAGAACAAGCAAGTGTCAACTATCCGCCTCTCGGGAGGGCAGCGGGGGCTGCCCTGCGTCGGATCCGCTGCTTGCACCGCGCGACGGAGGAGGAGAGGAGGAGGAGGAGGAGGAGGAGGAGGGGAGGGATGGGAGACGTGGGGACGAGGAGAAAAGGAGGAGGAGGAGCCCCCCCTCCCCCTCCATCCCTCTTCTTTCTGAAAAACCCCCCTGCCACACTGTCGCACCCCGAGACGCGTCGGTAGGGCGGGCCAGGCGTTTCGCAATGAGACTTCCTCACCATGTACGATCCCGAAGAGTTGCAGCAGCTTCATGGATGGAGGGCGGGCACTTCTCAAATGTGGCTCTCGTCTGAGCGCCGCAAACACTCGTCTGAAAAGTGTACAGGGGGCGTCACGGATGGTAGGGCGGGTGGTTTTCAAAATGTGGATCTCGCCTCAGCGCCGCAAACATTCGTCCTCAAAGTTTTGCATGAGCTTCACGGACGGAGAGCGGGTGATTCTAACAATATGGTTATCGACTTAGCGCCGCGCACATTCGTCTATAAAATGTGCACAAGCTTCACGGATGGAAGGCGGGTGGGTTTCAAAGTGCGCCTCCTCGTCCGTCTCCCCTCCTCATTACTCTCCCTGTCAATCCCTAATCGTCTTCACCTTCCGCAACCAACGCCGCCAGGTGCCAATATCATCCTCAAGAATCCTCCTCTCTCCCCTTCCCCCCCTTCTCCCCCCCCTTCCCCTCTCCCCCACTCTCCTCCACCCTCCTCCTCCCTCCTCCTCCACCTCCTCCTCCTCCTCCTCCCCTCCTCCTCCTCCTCCTCCTCCTCCTCCTCCCCTCCTCCTCCTCCTCCTCCTCCCCATCCTCCTTCTCCTCCTCCTCCTCATCCTCCTCCCCCTCATCCTCCCTCCCAACATCATCCATTTCAAGACTCTACAAGAATTCCGCCCCTGA